CCCCCCCCCTCACACGCCGCTCCCTATGCACAGAATGACAGGACAACTGACACAACTCGCCAACCTCTAACGTTAAACAACACCACTTAATGCTTCCACAGCACAGCTGAAAAGCCAGACAAGGATTCACAACGTGTGCATGCTTTTATTTTGACACCACATTTTTTTGTTTCAGTACTCTCCATACTTTGCAGTTCCTTTCATTTTTTAAATAACTTATACGTCACAGCTTCATACTCTTATTTTAGGTCATCAACCCTGCAATTCAACCACGTGCTTTTTATGATTTTCTTCTTTTTTTTCTTTTTTTTTTTCACTTTTCTTTTTTAAGCTATTGATTCAGTATACACGAAGACGTGACAATTATTTATATATGTATAACTTTTAGGTGCCATCAGGTTTCATGTCTTTTTTACATTGATTGTCACTCTAGACGAGAGCCTGATTCCACCACGCTGCCTCACATTTGTTCTACATTTATTGTTGGTTAATTTCTGTAGGAGATGGAAGTTTGTAGACTGATATGAGTCATTTTGATACTTACCATCTCAGGCAAAATTCAAATAAAGTGCTTTTCTTTTGGACTCTCAAAGATGCACTGAAAAACAATGACAAGTTTACATATTACACAGATTGTCACCATTTCTGTTTTTATGAAGTTACCCATCAAATACATATTTATCTGCAACGAGAAATGTCATCCGTTTCAAATTGTGTACTGTTATTATTGTCAGTGTGAACGGCTTTTATTAATAAGGGGTGATTTTGCATTTGATATATTCTTCTTCTTCTCTTATTTTACTTGATTCTTTTCATATGCTTTCTGACATTTCTTTCTTTTAATATAATGGGAAAGATTTTGCAGTTCTCATTAAAATTTGTTTCATAGACTAGACGTGTCCCAATCCTCAACTGTAACAGACGCTTGAAAGTCTTACAGTTGCATCCTCAAAATTAATGCTGAAAGATTAGTTCCTTTAGAAATTGTACTCTCCCCCCCCCCTCCCCGCCCCCTCTCCTTTTTTCAAGTAAAAGATGTGTCACGGGCTTTTAAAAGATTATATCGACAACATCTTTGCGACCTCTATCAATATATTTTGATGTACTGATTTTGTGTTGTAGTGGTTGGAACCAGCATGAGCTGGACAAATTCATAGTTGTACTGTTGAAATGGATCAGAGGAAAGCTTCTCCCTCATAATGGGGTTTGTAGAGCCCGTCTGTTGTCAGAGATGTGGACAGAAAACAAAGCACACAGAGGATGAAGGAAAATGCTATTTCTGTAACCTCCCAGTGTACTATAAACACACATAGAAATCCCGTGGAAAAGAAAAGCATAATTTGCCAGAGTTTAAGTTCTTCTATAAAGGTAGGTTCCCCTATTGACAACATAAGTTAAAGTCGCAGGTTTTAGAGGTACGGCGAAGAATGCATTTCGTTTACGATTCTTGGTGTTATTGAAAATGATTCTTTGATTGTGTACTGCCTGTTAGTTTGTTTGTATGTTTCTTTCACCCACCGTAATATGCAATGATAACTCATACTTGCAACCATTTTTCACTACGGAAAACTATTAGAGACAACGACCCCTATCCCTACCCCTGCTCCTACAACACCACCCCGACCACCACAAACAACAACAACAACAACAACCACGACGACAACAACCCGGCCAACAACAGCAACGACGACAACGACGACCCCAAAACCAGCAACAACACCAAGACCTACAAGACCATCGACGAGAAGAACTACAACAAGAGGTTACCCCCCTTCCCTCCCCCAGCCTTCCTTTGATCCCAGAATATTTGCCTCCAGCTTGTAGCTATAGTCTACCACCCACTGCGCTTTTTACAGTTCTGCATACCACACCACAATAATAACGTTATTATGCCCCCACGTTTAATGTTCATGACTTTGCAGTAATGTCGGCAACGTTCCCCTGGTTCTAGGGGCTTGCCAAAGGTCACAAATCATTACTCTGCTTTTCTGTCAACTGACGAAACAATTATGCATGACCGTAGGCACATCAAGTTGAAGAAAAATGTGCTTATGATGACTTTACAAAACACTTTATTCATGTTTACAATGCTTTCTGATTGATCCCCACAAATGACATGGTAATTTGATTTCACAGCTAACTGCAAGAAGGACTATGCCCGTTTATTTTTATTAATGAAGCACCTTTTTATTTATGCCATTTTGCACTCAGGAATTGTTCAGACACACTTCTCACATTATGTTTTATTTGTTCATGTTAACCTGCTTTACCACAACACACGCAGATACTGGTTTTATCATTATATTATTAGTTAACAAATAGCCCTTTTTATGATTTGGGGAGTAAATGTATTTGTTTTTGTTTTGTTTTGGGTTGGTTTGGTTTGGTTTGGTTTTTTGTTATTTGTTTTGGGTTGGTTTCTTTGTGTGTATGTGTGTATGTATGTGTGTATGTGTGTATGTGTTTGTGTGTATCTGTGTATGTATGTGTGTATGTGTGTGTGTGTGTATGTGTGTGTGTATGTGTGTATGTATGTGTATATGTGTGTGTGTGTTTGTGTGTGTGTATGTGTGTGTTGTGTATATGTGTGTATGTGTGTGTATGAGTGTGTGTGTGTTTGTGTGTGTGTATGAGTGTATGTGTGTGTTTGTGTGTATGCGTGTGTTTTTAAATATGTGATTTTGTTTGTGATAGGGGCTTTGTTTTCACATATTATTATTTCTTCATTTAACTTTTATAATGCTTCAACTTTTGTTTTCTTATTTATTATTTGCACATAATAATATACTTATCCCCAGGGAATGTTTCTTTCTATTTTTTTAAAAAATATATAAAGACATCTCAACTTTGTTGCTTTACCCTATTCACCATTTGAATGCTTTTAAAGTCGTAGGCTAGGAGACAATTCACCAGTGTTTTCCTAAAAGAATATTTTTTTGTTTACTGTTTTCATTTTTAACACTTTTGTTGCATGAAAACTGCTACATTATGTCACTTTTAAATAATGAATGAATGAATGAATAAGTGAATGAGTAACTGAATGAAAGTATATATGAATGAATGAATATATGAATGAATGAATGAATGATTGAATGAACGAATGAATTTTTTCCACAGTAATTTAATCTTGTTAAACATAATACACAAGTTGTGTTTGCCGGATGATTTAGAAACACTGACTTAAAATCCACATTTGGACGATGTTTAGCATCGTATTTGTTTATTTCACACACACACACACACACACACACACACACACACACACACACACACACACACACACACACACACACACACACACACACACACACACACGTGTACGCACACATAAATGGAGACAAACACACACACTCACACACTCACACTCACACACAAACACGCACACACATACACATGCATACGTAAATAATATACAGACCGGAAAGAATATAAGTATACACACTCACACTCAACTATACACACACATACACATGCACAGATAAATAATATACAGGCCCAATGGAATATACGTGTATACATTAATATGAGTATAAACACTCACACACACACACACACACCTACTCACACATGCACACGGACATACATACTTAAGTATGAAGGGTACGTATAAAAATACATGTCTATGACGTATTTATGGAGCCCTGCACCAATGAATTTTGGCATGTTGATTATCTGCACATTCTTATCTAATGATAAGAATAATAGTTCCTTTTATTTTTACCCGTCATGAGCAATAAAAACAATACTTGATGCATTCGACTTGTTGACAGGGAAGTTCATCTGTCAGTCTTTTTTTTAAATACTGTAATATTTTTTAAGATAAGAAAGATACTTGAGGGTGTATTTAGTGAAGATAAATGAAGGTCAGAGTAAAGAAAACAGTCTGAATGACTGAAGGAGACAGTAGATACAGCTGAGATGTCTGACAGCAGAGTCTGAGATAGGCAAAGGAAGAGGGCATACAAAGATATTAGGTAATAATAATATGGGGAAGTTCCAAAAGGCGAAATATTGAATTCCCTGTTTGGTGTTGTGTTAGTCTGGGACAGGCAAATTAAGAGGTAATACATACATACATACTAGTTATTTATTTATTTATTTATATATTCTATGGGGAACAAGATTTAAAAGGCGAAATATTGAATTACCTGTTTGTTTGGGGTTTTGTGTCTGTTGGGGGGGGGGGGCATCGTTACAAATTCGAGCAGTTGTTCATGGTAACATTTCAACTTCTTTTGTCATGAAAAAACCTTGGCTGGCGTCTTATCACTCCTTTGTCTCTATGTATTTGAAGGAATGCTATTCGCGATACTCTTTGAAGGCATGTGGTACATGTAATGATTTTGTAAATTTAGCATAAATGTTTCTATCATGAATGTATTTTTGCTACTACGGAACTATTTTGAACTTGATTTGCAATTCTGGTTGGTACTTAGGATCTGCGCTCGTAAATCATCAATATTATTTTCACTTTGCAGAGTAGAACAGAGTAGTAAATCTATACTTTTGCTTTATAATCTATGGTATTGAGTGATTCTGGCTGAAGGTATTGCAGGCCTGTACAGAACATAATAATATTCTGAAGATCTTGACATTGTAGAAAAAGTAAATCTGGGTGTTTCAATACCGAAATTCGGTTCTGCGTTTTGCTGTCGCTGATCTCCGATGAATGACAAATGTGTTCCTTTTATAACTGGTTATCTTAGTATATTGGTTGCTTTTGAATCTTCTGTAGAACTGTACAACCGTGTATCATTTTGAAGTTTTACATTTCTATTATACACGTCAACTCTGTAAAGGACAAGAACGTGTTTTGTCCTCGATAGTGTCCAAAATGTTGTGTGCCTGAATTTGTAAACGTCTTCTGTTCTCAGCCACAACAACCACCACCACCACGACCACTCGCAGGCCGACAACCACACGCAGAACTACAACCACGACCCGTAGAACCACGACACCAAGGAGAATTCCTCGTGAGAACATACTTTATATTGTTGTCTTCTTAAAATACACAGCTAAATTAATGTGAAAATACGTAATTTGTTACTCTACTCTACGGTTGCTCATGTTCTTATCTTCGTTTGACACTGCTTTACTAGGAGTACGAAAATGTTTAAAAGATTAGTTCTATTTTGATAATTCGTCTTGCTTCAACAATGTGTACATTATGATAACCACAACAACAACAACAACAACAACAACAACAACAACAACAACGACAATAATAATGAACTCACATGGTATACCTATGTGCTTTTTACATGTTCACCCTAACCAGATAGACAGCCATCTATTCCTTTGACAAGGGGTTAGATCTGTTTCAATGTCACACATACATAATAAATGTCTTTATCAAACTTCAGTTTGAATTTTGTTTTCCTTTGCTGAATTCTTTTCCAGAGTTCAAAGAGACTGGCACTGATATCATTTTCATGCTGGACTCATCTGTCAATGACGAGACATTCGACTGGATGAAGACTTTTGTGACAGACTTCACTGAACAAATTGACATTGACACAGGAGACTGGCGTGTTGGTAGCATGACTTTTGATTCCAGATCTCGCCCAAGTTTCCAACTCAACAGGTTGGTGGTATAACTTTTGGAAAAAGAATCAGGAAAAGACAACAAATTAAAAAATAGTAGTTTCTAGAACACTTGACCAGACATAAAGACAGATCTGGCACTTGATATTGATACCAATAGGGAGACGAGACTGCCCTCTGTTAGCTCTGTTGGTATTATGTTGGACAGCAGAGCAGATGGCCCTGGTTTGAATACCATGTTGGGTGACCTTGGACTGATCGTTTTGCGGAGGTTTCAAGGCTCCTAACTCATTTGGCTCAGTCCTTTCGGATTTGTGTTTATATTCGGAGGTCACGCCTGTCAAATAATTTAGCATTATCGTAAGGGGTTCCAAAACCATTTTACTTTACTTTACTTTGCCTGGCTTTATTTACTTAACTTCGTGTTACTTTACTTTACATAACATTATTTATTTTACTTTATTTTACTTTACTTTATTTTACAGTTTACTTTACTTTACTTTACTTTACTTTACTTTACTTTACTTTACTTTACTTTACTTTACTGTACTTTACTTTACTTTACTGTACTGTACTGTACTTGTACTTTGCTTAAGATTAATTTACGTTACTTTGTGTGTGCTTTTGCTACGTTCTCAATATGATCTTCACTTTACTCGTTTACAAAGCAGGTAACCCGTCTTTGGGAGACTGAATGTCTGCATATTGCAGAGTATAGAATTCACTTCGCTTCTACATACAAAACCGCTTGCTTTGACTATTAATACTTTAAACATGTTTGCACATAAAAGTGTATTGTTGGAGCTCTAACCTGCAGAAGTAGTATATCTGATGCCTTTTGAGAGATGGTAAATCTTAACTGTGCGGAGGATAAAAAAGGTTATAAAGCTTCTTCTGTGTTTGTGTGTGTGTTTGTGAAAGACGGAGTTGCTAGTTACCTAGTATTAGCGCATGAACTTATTCGTGAGTTCTCCGTTTTCACAGATACAACTTCAAGGATGAGATCATTGCTGGCATTGGCAAAATGGGGAACTCCCCCAGCACCCGTAGGCCCGATGTCGGTGGTGCCTTCGATTACGTGAGACGTTCCATGTTCACTTCACGACAGGGAGACAGGCCTCGGGCTAGGAACTATGTCGTTCTTCTTACAGGTATGTCATATTGAAAGTATGTCGTTTTTCTTACAGGTATGTCACAATGAAACTATGTCGTTCTTCTTACAGGTATGTCATATTGAAAGTATGTCGTTCTTCTTACAGGTATGTCACAATTAAACTATGCTGTTCTTCGTACAGGCATGTCATATTGAAACTATGTTGTTCTTCATACAGATAATATGTCTTATTGAACAATAGAGTAGGCAGTTTTCGGACACAAAACACGTTTATTGCTAAAAGGCATAAACTAAACATGATCTACAAATGTATATGAAATATCTTGAGTTGCTTCGTTATTTTGAATTACGTACCGTGTAAATGTTATTTTTTATGCTTTTGTTGAGTTAATAATAAATAAGGTAATAATAAATTATAAAAAGCATTGTATATAACGCATAACTATGTGCAATAAAACATGTCAACATCTAGTAGAAGAACGCTTAGAAACATTCATGGTTTCCAGAGGAGCATAGTACAGTTGAGATTCGCATTCTTTTTTTTTTCTTTTGTATTTTTTCGTTAGTGTTTTACAGTGCTCACGACTGCATAAGGTCAAACGAATGTACGAAACACATTTAACATTTTCAGTTGGAAGGAAATTTTTAATTTTGCCCGAGTTTCGGCCTAAGCCTACTCTTGTCGATTTAGGACCTCAAAGGGATCTTTAACGTGCGCAACTTGCACACGGGACCTCTGATATTTTTCGCTCCTGTCCGAGAAGGCTAGGTGTAGATCTTTCTTAACTAAGAACAGGGATGTGGCTGAAAGACAACAGTAAGGAGGAGCCAAGGAATAGCAGTAGAAAGGCTACAGAAAGAGTCAGGGGCCTATAGGAGGGGGCAAAGGAGGTGAGAAAGCTGCGTAAGAAAGTGCACACGAAAGCAATGACAGGACATTGTGAGAGAGCAGGAATAGATGTGAAAGGAGAACATTTTACTGAAGAAAATTTGTCCATCGCTACCCGGATTCGAACCCGGGACCTTTGATCGAGAGGCGAACACCTTAACCTCTAGGCCACGAGAGCCCCCTTTAAATTCTCCAGGACAGACATGTTGTAATCACTGGCTTAAAAAAGGACAAACAGAAATACTATATGAGCACTTGGTTTTGTAGGAACTGCCTTTATGCTGAGTGACAAAACGTCTCCTGTGCTCTTGCTATTTTATTTAGATCCTACGTGTTTTAGGTGTTCAAATTTCCTGTCTTTTCATGAGAGGAAGGAAACATTTTCTTCAGCTCATTATTATTGTTTTGTCTGAGATTCACTTACAGACCTCCACAGAAGGCCAGCATTTTATTCTATTAAAGGACTGGATACAAGAAAGGAAGCATTCTCTTTGAAATACACATTTAATGTTATTAATGATGTATTGCTGTGTCTTTGTTTGTCTTTCAGGAAATGAGAAATATTTGAACTCTGAACGTAGTTATGGCGCTGCAAACAGACTGAAGGATCTTGGCACTGATGTGTACACTATCGGCCTAAACTTTAGAGATACCACTGACATAGATGAGATCAGCTCCAAACCTACTGACGCATTCAGAACCATCATCAACAGCCCAGAGGAGATGGGAGAAGTTCCAGGAATATATCTGTACAGAATGAATAGAGGTGGGCACTACATTTGGAGACCTACATCTGAAAGAGGTTGCTCTCTGTTGTTGTTGATGATGGTGTTGCTGTTGTTGTTTTTGCTTGTTTGTTTGTTGGGATTTTTTTAGGGGTGGGGGAGGGTGGGTTTTTTAATGTGTTTGTTGTTGTTTATTGGTGGTGGGGGAGGGGGGTGAATGTAAAAGCAACTTGTTGGTCTTGGTTTAGTGTTGAGAAGTTTGTCTCACAGGAAGAAATGATGCAAATACTATTGTTATAGCTTTTGTTCTTTATATAATATTATACTTTATTTATCTGATTGTTTCTTACCGTATTGTTTCAGCACCACCACCAACTACCCGACCCACAACAACCACAACAACCACCACGACTACAAGACGTCCTGTCGTCCCCTACACTGGCAAGTTTATTACAATGATGTTTCTGTTTTTTATCATCTCAATAGAACTAACTAAAACAGTTGAACATAGTCGCTGACAGTTTTATTTTTGATTCAACCCTTGATTCTAGACAGCCTTTTCCTTTCTGGGATTATAGGCCAACCCTTTCTGATAGTGAAGTCCTTATTTGTTGTCTTTTATCCTAGCATTGGGCTCAGTAATGGCTTGAGTTGTAATAAATGGTATACGTACTAGATAATAATGTAGTGAGACACGGGTTTTTTTCTCCATTTTTCGGCTCCAATTGGAATGGTTTTGTTGCTGTCGTTTCGTAAAAGTTGTTATACTTGAGAATATTATCTACTGGCTGTAAACTAACTGTATTTCTATGATCCTCTTTCTTTGGGTTTGTTTTTCGGTGTCGCCCCAAAAGCCTTTTGGGGGGCGAGGAGTTACTTTAAGGATTGGACATAATTCACTGCTTGAGATGTGATTGTAAATAAGGGTACCCCCCCCCCCCTGTTGTATCCAGGTGACTGCAAGTCAAAGGCTGACGTCATCTTCCTGCTGGATACATCGGGTAGCGTGGGAGAGTACAACTATGCCTTGATGAGAAACTTCACATTCAACACAGTGAAAGACTTGGAAATTGATAGTGGTCTATTTAGGGTTGGAGTCATGACTTTCAGGTTTGTGCATGGACCTGTTTTTTTGTTTTTTGTTTTTTGGTGGGTTTTTTTCTTTTGGTCCCGTATCTTTATTTGGCGCCGATATTTGAAAGTTACTTTAAAATGTGCCAACGTGGCAGAAATGGTTATGCTTTAAGAAATACAAAACAAGAAAAAGGAAATTTGATTATTTTTGCAACAATAAAGATGATGATGATGAGGATGGCAACAATGATAATACTGAGGTGCTGAGAATGAGGCTAATGTTGGTTGTACATGGACTTGTTTCGCTGAATATGTGTCGTATGTTTAGATTTGTCTTTGGTAGGAAGTTTGTGTACAATTTGAGATTCTTGTGTCAGATCCGTGTTATGTACCAAATAATAACATTATTTGTTCTTTTCTTCTTGGAGTGGAAAACATGCATTTTGGTGGGGGGGGGTGGATTTGCCAGTATGCCAAATTGCTGTTTCTTTTACTTAAACCCAACTAAAATTAACTGGACTGGACCACAGCATTAAGCCAAAGATGCATATTGTGTGTTTTTACAAATGATACGTCAATGTGTATCGACCTCTAAATGAGTAATTCATGAATGGTAGCACACATAGTGCAGGGCAGGTTGCATCCAACTAAAAAGAGTTAAGAATCGTCCTACTAGAGCTTAGACATTTTTTCAGTAGGTCATCATCTATGCGTTACGTATAACACGTTTCATGGAATGGCCCAAAAATCATAGGTTGGTCCCAAGTTAAAGCCATTGAGCCTATTGAATTCATGTTAAAATCATGGAATAATTTTAGTTGTGATTTAAGAGGCACCTACAAACTTCTCTCGACAGTGACACTGCACGCATTGAGTTCCAGCTGAACACGCACGACACCAAGCAAGACATTTTCAATGCATTGCAGCGTATGCCTTACGTGTATGGCTACACACACACCGCCGAGGCTTTGAGACGAATTCGTACTGAGATGTTCGTATCTCGCAATGGAGACAGACCAGGTTGGTCATCAAGTGTTGTTCTAACTTGTTTGCTAGTCTTTAATATCTATTTCCCGTTTAGCCTCTATATTTGTTCTGTGTTCAGATGTGTGTTGTCTGTTATTCTTTGATGAAGAACTCTCATCATGTCTCCTGCTCTAAGCGTCTTCACATTTTGGGGTCTTATGAAATATATTGCAGGCATCTACTTTTTCCTTCCTACTCAAGCGTATCTATCACACCTTTGATTTACCAACGAGCATCTAGCCTTGATTAGAAAGGGAGTGTGACTTTTCGACATGAGTAGAAGTTGATGCATATGGCACAGTGTACTTGCAAAGGGAATAGAGAGAGCCTTTTAATATTTTCTGTGTTATAGACCTTGAATGACTGTGTGACTGTTTGTCCAGTATAAGCAATAGGTCCCATGCCATGCAATGCGAATGCTCGTCTTTATGAGTTGTTCTCCATTCCAGTTCTGTGTCTTCTCTAAGCTGTAGTTAGAAAGAAAAGCTGTCGTTGGAGACATCGTGCGAGGGGGAACTTGAACGGTAAATTTAGACAGAGGGTTAAGGGTGGTCACATTGCAGAGTTTGTATTTCTACACCCTCGTCGACTAAAATGAAGTCTTGTTCATAATATTGGAATAGGGATTCAACCATGCCTTTCATGGGCAGCACTGGTTTGGAGGGATAAAACATCCCAACAGAAAGGCAGAGATACTCAATAAAAATTCTCCCCACTCGGGAATCAATTACGCACCTAACTGATACACCACAGATGCAGGTTGGTAGCTTAGTTATAAGTCACATTAGGTAACTTTTGTCCAAACATATTGCTTTGTTATACTACTTCAGATGTGCCCAACCTGCTGGTCATTGTGACTGACGGCCACTCGAACGTGAACCACGAGGAAACAATTCCCGAGGCCCGCCTCATCAAGAACATGGGCACCACCATCATCACCGTGGCTATCGGCCTGGAAGACAACACCGAGCTGAGGGGCATGGCCTCCCAGCCCATCCAGGACAACATGATCGAGGTCATGGACTTCGAGGGGCTGGGACAGCTGTCTCACACCATTGTCACTCCTCTTTGTTCCGGTGCGTATTTTCTTATGAGAGACCTTTTCAGACAACCACATTTTCAGTTTGACAGTGTTCCACTATAGATATTATGTGTGTGTGTGTTTGTGTGTGCGTGTGTATGTGTGTGTGTGTGTGTGTGTGTGTGTGTGTGTACGTGTGCATATGTACGTGAGTATGTATGTATGTGTGTGTGCGTACATGTGCATATGTATGTATATGTATTTGTGTGTGTGTGTATGTGTGTGTGAGAGAGAGAGTGAGTGTGTGCGTGTGCATATGTATATGTGTGTGTGTATTTGTGCGTGTGTGTGCGTCTTTGTGTGCAATGTGTATATATGTAATTTATAAAACATTAACTTAATTAAAATTAAGCTTTCCCCAAAGTGGGTTGGGATATACATACAACTACACTGCACTGCTGTAGAAAGTGCAATCCATCTAATGACTATAAAAATGGTGAAATGGTAGTGTTTTAACGCCCCTGTCAACACTGTTAGGTTATTTAAGAGTCGGGACCTCCGAGTTCAACGTCCATCTCCAAAAGGACCGATCCAAAAGAGAAATTCTAGAAAAGTGTCTTTCCCAAAGACACAAGGTCGGACCGAGCTGACTGACGCTCGAACCCCCGAACCCGCAATCTCACGATTACCTGTCTGGTAGCCTAACCACTAGACCACCGAGGCCACCATCTAATGGTTAAACGGTTTGCCCCTATTAACCTTTACATTCGCATGCGAATGCGTCATGTTGGCTTAGGTATTTAATCTCTCCTTTCTGTTGTTTCTCCCTCTTTCTTCTGAGCTCTAACTTGAGGGCTACATGCTCTCCTCTTGCTATGTCTTCAATGTGTCTAACAGAGGATCTCACTGATTTAGTAGGATTTTTAATGTTATTCGTTACCTTTTAAAAACTGTTTTATTGGCCAAAATATCTCCTGGGAAGCAGCAACAAATAGTTTGTTTTTATTTTTCAAGTGCTTAATGCTTTGTTAAAGTCGTTTATAATATTTGGCACTGAAATAATTTTGGTTTGGTCTTTCCCAGATATATGTAGTACTTTCTATAAGTGTTAAAATGTCATTTATTAATAATAATTTTCTTTGACCATGTTTCAGATGCTGATATGTGTGAAAGAAATCCATGCCAGAATGAGGGAGTGTGTGTGGATGGACTCCGCTCCTACATCTGTGTCTGCACCAGAGGATTCTATGGCGATAACTGTGAAAACTGTTAGTAACCAATCACATTCCTTTCTATTTTTTTCCTTTTTCAATTTCCAATTTTGAGCTAGCATTTTCTTTGATTGAAAAAAATTGTTGTCCCAAGAACAAAAAATATTGAAGAAAGCCCTTTTGTCTATTGAAAAATGATAAATTGGTTTATTATTTTTGCACCATTCTATATTTCTTTCTGATTCACTCTCTGAAATAATGCAGTGCCTTTAGGAATTAAAATGGGTTTTTTAAAAATTAAGAATGATAGATGAATGTATATAAGAAATTCCTTTTGCTCTTTAATAGATAGTATTCCAATTATATCATTATATCTGATGATCCTCTGAATACCCAATGGAAAGAATCATTTACTGGAAAAGAGCATGCCCCCCCCCCGCACCCCCCACACGCCAAACAAACAATTAAAAAACATCACAACCACTCCACCAACAACAACAACAGCAGCAACAGCAACAACAGCAACAACAGCAACAACAACAATGACAACAATAAAACAACAACAACCAACAATAAAAAGAGCGAAACACTGCACCCTTGACTTTCAGAGCCAAGCTGTAATTTTCCGGTTTCTATTTCTATTTCTGTTGTTCCCAGCATGTGGAGAGGCTGCTGACGTTGTCCTCATCCTCGACTCCTCCACCTCTGTGGGCTCCCAGAACTTCGCTGCCATTAAGAGCTACGCTCAGAGGCTGGTTACGGACATGGAAGTCTTGAACTGCGGCATCAACATTGGTGTGATGAAGTACAGCTCCGCTGCCATGATTCAGTTCAGCTTGGGCTATTACGACACTGAGGACGAAATCATCCGAGCCATTGGAGACATCAGCTACACACCTGGCAGGTCTAACATGGCTGAGGCGCTTCGCTCCGCCAGGGTTCAGATGTTCAATGGAAGAAATGGAGATAGGTTTGTAATATTTCTGTTTACCTTTAGCTTCTTGGACTCATTAAAATTTTCTGATTCGATTAAATATTCTGGCAGTTGATATGGAGGAAGCAACAATTTTCACACATTCCATTGCATGTCTTCATGTTTGTTTTGTTTGTTGTTTTGGTGAGTGGGGGTTGTTTTGTTTTTTTGGGGGTGGGGGTTTTTTGGGGGGTGGTAGTCATTAATTGTATTTCTTCATCCCTTGCGTATGTAAAGTGTGCTTTAAAAGTTATGCTTGTCTTTCTCATAAAAAAATTACTTTATCAGTGTGACCCCCCACCCTCCTCTTTTTTTTCGAGCTGTGGATGTCTGTTGCAATATCAATAATTCGTGAACCTCTCATCCGACCTACCTCAATAAATCAGTAAGGTTTTGAAAATCAGCTTTTTAAGTTGTACTCTTTAATACATGACATATCCAAAATATGTTCTAGGTACGACGCTCGCAACATTGCTTACCTGTTGACTGACGGCTCTGTTGAAATCAATCGTGACATCACTCTATCCGAGGCTGAGCTGGTCATTGACTCTGGAGTCCGCCTCATTCCCCTGGCTGTGGGTCTGAGAGACAGGAGTGAGATCGAGCTTATTGCTGAGACACAGGGAATGCCCCTGATGGAGATTGAGAGCGAAGCAAGCTTCAAGGCCATGAGCGACCAAGTTTTGGAGGCTGTGCACGACAGTAAGTCAACACACTGAGACATTTTATCACTCCTCACTCTTCCTAGCGTTCACTTTTTAGGGTTCAGTCGTACTGGCCCAGAGCATGAGGTGTTTCTTGCAAGGCACTCTGTATGTGTTCAGTCTTTCTGTTATATCACACTTTCACCTCTTTTCTTTATTACACCATAATTCACAATTTTTGCAAGTATCGAAAGTCCGTTTACCTCTCTTCTGTCAGCTACCACAGTTATAAAACGTGACCTATGGCAATTAGAATGGAATTAATGATAGATATAGAAAGAAAACTTTGGAACTCAAACTTATACAAGGATTTCTTACATGAGCTCAATTATCATTTTTCATTATTTAAAAAAAAAAATAGCATCCGTTGTATTTAACAATGTTTCAGCAGGTGTAGTTATCAGAAATATCGACGTGCTCTTATTGTAATATCAAAGTACTTATTTTTTCTATTGAAATAGCACTGTGGTCCTTTTATTTTCCTAAACATGAATGATCTATTTGAAATTTGAATCTTCATCGAATGGTCAATCTCCTCTTCATTTCAGCCACTTCAGGTATTCACCATTTATCATCCTTTTGATTTCAACCATTTTTAATGTTGTACTGCACATCCATTCCTCAAATGTCACTACCCGAAGACATTAATAGTGTGGAGTTTGTCTGGGAGAGCTTAGCTTAGATACTTAATTTCTTTATTTATGTTTCTACTATTGTTAGCTTAACTTGTGTAAAGAGAACTGTAAATAGAACTTAATCAACCTTGAGAATCAAGTACAGCCGAACTTGTTATAACGGCCACCTGTCTAGGACAATGACCAATTCAAACGGCCACCCCCCTCCCTGCGTTCTTTCTGCATTAAAATGAAACTATTCAAGACAACCACCTGTTCAAGACGACCACTTTTCTTCACGACATATGATGGCTGTATTGAAAATTTTCGATTGTACTTAGAAGAAAATGTTACGATACTAACAGAGCCTCCCAGAAAGCACACACATTGATGAACAGGGTACACATCGCACTTGCTTTTTCTTATAAAAGATGTGTCTCATTTCTGAATTACAATCAGCATGTTTCTTCCCTCAAAAAGCACCTATCCAGCAAATCACACTTTGTATGCTCCGCCATCATCGTCTACGATTTTCGTCTTTTTAGTCAACAACTTTTTAAAAAATGTTTCAAGTGACCGCACATTAACGTAATGAGTGAATAACTAAACTTTTGATCTTGTAGTTTTGGACTGAATTTAAATATACTGATTTTAACTACCAAAGTATTCTCACTGATGTTTCAAAGCTTTCAAGTCTGAGCATAATTTTTCATATCTTGAAAGCTTTATTATCGTGACATTGCTGGTCGTTGCAAGAGAAGGATTTAAAGGCAAAATTCATCACCCTGATTTAAATCGTAGCAAACACCGCAGGACAATAATATTTCCTCCAACGGATGGGGCTATTGATTTGTTACAACATCTTTCACGGGTACTTGTTCCTTTATATTTTATTAATCTATGAAAAGTTTTGTTTTCTAATTCCTCTGTTGGTTTGTTTTTTTACATCATCATTTGAAGTTGATTCTGCTTTGTCAATGTTGTATAGTTATACAAAGAACTTTTTAATTTAGCATAATATGCTTCTAATAGTCTCATTTTAATGCATTCATCTTTGACATCAGATTCCTTCTCAACTTTATGTGGTCGCTAATACTGTTTATAACATGTTCTTTAGATACTGCCTACTGCGCGTTTATAACATGTTCTTTAGACACTGCCTACTGCGCGTTTATAACATGTTCTTTAGATACTGCCTACTGCGCGTTTATAACATGTTCTTTAGATACTGCCTACTGCGCCTATACATGTCATTTAATTTTTGTCTTTGTCTTTTTATCACCTTTATTACGTCCCTCTCATTCCTTTTTTTAAAACCCATTTTCCTTTTAAATGCAAAAGCCACAGCTGAAAGCATTAATCTCCGTTTTTTACGCTAACTCTTTAAATATAGCAATAGCTTTTTTCATAATAATAAGAAGAATGCAGTTCTCTTTCTTTCTCTGCTGAAAACGTTTCAACAAACATTGTTCGTACTGGGAAATGTCAGATGTTAACATTGTGAACATTGCAACGATTTCACTAACCTTAATATCTTCAAGAATAATATTCTCTTCGGCCACTGCCAAGGAAACTTCAACAGATGCTTTTTCGCCAGTATTTCATGAAATGCATCCAAAATACAAAGACTAACCATTATTAAGCTCTACACTTGAATATTGATAACATACTCCCCTATAAAGGCTATATATGTAAAGAGAAAACAAGGATTCATGGAGTCGATAGTCAAAACAAGTGTTATGGAATTAATTTCTCGAGCAAGTCAATTATTGTAAAATTGTGGTTATATGGAATTTTGTGTGATGCTGGTAAACATCAATTAAGCAACATTTTGCTAGTGAAAAGTGTGAACCATATGATTTGGAAGAGCTCCGACTCAGTCTTTTTTTGTAGGTTAGTTTTGGTAGATAAAGCACACTATTGATTAGTATGTTTATGCTGCCAAATGGTTTCTCAACCTGCATGAATCCTATCACGTAGGTGTAAGAGAGAAGTATATTCGTATACCGCTTAATTATTTGTTTTTTGTTCTCACCTGTAATTTACAATCCCCTCATCCCCTATGTGTGGTATTTTTTGTGTGTTTTTTTTACATCTGACCTGTCACTGCAATTATGCATACACACATACCAAAGTGTCATTTTGTTTGATTCACAACTAAAATTAAATCAGTGTATCCATTTGCCAGTGGATAATAGCAATTACATATTAAGTGGGAAATCCATGATCAGAATTAGAAACGGTTGATCTTTTTCCATACTATACGTTTAGCATCTGTTATTGCTAAACTGTGAGTATTATTTGCTCTATTGAACAATAGGACACTTAGACTGATCTGTTTGTGTGTGTTGCCACACTTGTCCAGATGTATATTTGCCAATCGTAAGCTTTAGTTTCATCATCATTTTTCATATTCAGGATATGTTGTAATAGTGGGTTCTGTTTGCTTTCTAGCTGATGACCACTGCTCACCGAACCCATGTTCAAATGGAGGTGTCTGTATCCCAGAGGCTCTTGGATTCTCCTGTCAGTGCGCTGAAGGCTTCTCTGGAGAGACATGTGGCAGAGGTATGGATATAGACTTAGCTTTTTTAAAAGTTTTGGTGAGGGTTTACGGCGCTCTCAACTGCAAAAGGTCGAATGAGCGTCATGGAGTGAATGTCAACAGGCAAGTCCAAACGGGGAATCAGGCCTAGTGTGCTCACCTCTCTAACCTGAATAGGACAAAGTCTGCTTTAACTATCAAGGCACCCCTGAAATAGCAGTTCACAAGAGAGTGACATACATACAAAAGAAATAGAAGAAAAATGACGATAGTAAGGATGAGGAAAGAAAAAGCAGCAATTCCCCCTATGTTGTTCCTGCACAGTATGAGCATGACATTGATAAATCAGCCCATTTACAATTCTACTGCGCATAAGAGCATGTTAATATCCGCCCCTTTGGGAATGGCCTAAAGACAACTTCAGTCAAAAAGGGGGGTGGGGAGGCAGGACTATTACTTCTTTTTTCAATTTAAGTCAGCTTTGATATCACGACCCAATATGATACGTTGTTGACAATTGGTTCATGGACGAAAATGTTTCGCGAAAGGAAATTACTGGAGAGTCATTTGGAATTGATGAAATGGAACAGCTTGTGGTAAAAGTAAGTGTCATCTTCCACGACTTTACCCATTTCGACAATCACGTCCAGTTGGTTTCTGTTCTTGTGGGACAACCAATCCGACAATGAGTAATGGTTTTTACAAAATATGCAAATCCTCAATCTTGTCAGTGGTGTTAAGTCTAAGTTGTTCTAGCAGCACCGAGTTGTAATTGGAGGTGTTCATAGTCCAAATTAGAATAAGCCAGAATCTGACACTTCTGATAAAATGTGATGTAGTTTACCAATATCTTTTTTTAAGTGCATACATTATTGTTATCAACTTTCTCTGACGTATTTTGAATAATATAAAAATCTCTCTATTTTTTTTCTATAGTTTTGTTTTATTAAGCAATTCTTTTCTTTTGATGACTTTTCGCAAAAGTCATTTCATAGCTGTGCTACGTTTGATGATTATGCATCAAGCTTACTTTTTGTTTTACCATCGAGAAGCGTGCATTATACAATAAACCTTCTATGAACTGTGTAAAAGTTCAGTTAGAGCTTGAGTTTTGGAAAATACATCTTAGATTAGGCTACTTGGCTGAAGAAAGGGAATAGCGTTTTTGGGGAGCTTTTTTGTTGTTATAACTTGTGAAAGAATATTATGGTTAATAAGGTTAACGAATCATTGGTTAAAACAGTTTCCAGAACCAAATGCCGAAAAATTATGTTCATTTTATAGACATAAACATTTCACTGATCGTGTATGACTTTTGTTCATTGTGTAGATTGTAAAATGCATAGAACTTGCTGTTGAACGGGAGTTTGCGCTCTGCAAACGTTATTTATTAAAATGTATTATTATGAGTTGTCTGTACGTCACACCCACAGTTTGCAACAGCCAGGCCGATGTTGTGTTTGTCGTGGATTCGTCCCGCTACAACAGTGGACCAGAATTCCGTACCATGAAGAGATTCTTGCGAGATGTCGTCAAACGTATGGCATTCAGGGGAGGCAACTTCCGTGTTGGTATTGTGGAGTACGGTTCCTCTCCAAGGATGAAGTTGTCACTGCTGGAGGGAGACAACAAGAGGACTGTTAAATCCGTCATTGGAAGTATGAGGTACGACAATATACCATATAACAACTTGTGTTGGAAAATGTAAAGATATTATGCATTTTAAGTGGAAGATCAACGTTTAAGAATACAAGTGACAGGACCAGTCTGAACATGCTTAAAGAAACTTTATGACCTCAAGTCTTGTTTGACTTTTTTTAGACAATATGTGGGTAGTTCTTCTTTTTTTTCCTTTCAAAATATAACATCTTGCTGAAAATGAGTCGGAGTAAGTTTTTTTTGTAAAAGGAGCAACAAAGTGACGAAGAACTTGAAGCTGCAGGGTTCTAAAAGACCTTATTTGTGAGTCCCTTCACCGAAGCTGTATATGTACAGCTCTCCCCTTAGTTGTGACCTCAGTCGCTTCTGTGGAAGCCTTCAAAAGAAAACGTTGAACCGAGCAACTACCAAAGATTGTTTTAATGTACATTTACTGACCAAAAATTAGTTCTACACTCTCCCTTCCTACTCTACTTTTTCAACCAAGACTACCATAAAAGGAATCACACATTTTTCAGAACACCTTTGCACTTTTATTGTCTTCCTTTCTTTAATTCCTCCTTATTAATCTAGAAGATAATAACCAAGCTAAAACAAAACACAAACAAAAACAAAAACAACGACATCACTTTCAACACAGTTCCTCATCTTTCGTCCTTAGGCGCGTGCGCGGTGACCCTGACCTTGGCAGAGCTGCAAGTGTGGTGGAGTACAGTCTGTTCGGTGCCGCCGGTGACCGAAAGAACGTCCCCAACTACGCGGTTCTGCTCACGCGCAGCATGGGCACGAGGAACAGTGTAGCGGCCATCAACAAACTGAAGGCCAAGGGAACCAAGGTTATTGGAGTCGGTGAGTGGCTGTAATAAAGGGAGGCGTCTATCGTCTTTCAAACGTTCAGTGCATATTTCCGACAGCAGTTGTAAATTAATAATAATAATAATAATAATAATAATAATAATAATAATAATAATAATAATAATAATAATGTAGATCATTTTCATTGTGCCCACTCCCGTGTGAACACAACTCTAAGCGATTTACATAATTCCATGTATGAACAATATTTACACGCGCGCGCACACACATGCCACACACACGCACCCCCCCCCCCCCACACACACACACACACATACACACACGTACACACAGACACCAACTTGCTCGTCACACGCGCACTCTTCCACATCGTTACGAAATGAGCACATACAAATACATAATAAAATAAAATAGAATAAAGATAACTTATTGTACAGAATGTACTCCAACTGACTGTTGTTTGTTGCACTTTTTTCTTACAACTTTGATTTTTTTTTAAAGTCTCCATAAAAACCCCACCAAAAGAACACTCGTAGTCTCAAAGTAATTATTACTTTCAGGAGCCAATGCCTTTTACCCTTCTGTCTAGTATGTATCAATTTGACTGGTTGAGCATTGGTACATCATCAGAGAATCCAGTATTAGTAATGTTTTCAAAACTGTCCAACCTGCTCTACTGGCCACCTGTCCAAGACAATCACCTGTACAAATGACCACTTCCCACACCCTTTGCTTTCTTTTTATATATAATATTATACATGAAACGGTGTAACTCGCCCCTCACTTTTAAACAACCACTACTCTCTTCGACATTGGTTGCCTGTGTTGGACAATTTGGGCTGCACCAAAATCCTCTATATCTAGAAACTTATTATAATAATAATAATAATAATAATAATAATAATAATAATAATAATAATAATAATAATAATAATAATATTAGTAATTTAAAAAATAACATTAATATTAATAGTAATAATGATAATAATAATAATAATAATAATGATAATAATAATAATAGTAATAATAATAACAATAATAATAATAATAATAACAATAGTAATAACAATAATAATAATAACAATAGTAATAGCAATAATAACAATAATAACAATAATAACAATAGCCCACATCCCTCGTGACTCATCAGAGCAGAGGAAGATAGGACTAACGCTAACATTATTATTTTTTTTAAACAACAACAATCAAATAACAGAAGCATGTTTTCTTATAATTATAAACGTAAGCACCATCCCACATCATCACTTACCACCACCATCACCGTCATTTCTAAGGTCATCATTGCTCTCAGATCCTTCACAAACATCTATAATTATCTTAAACATCTATATGTAACAGTTATATGTCATAACAAATTTGTACGTTATACATTATTGGGCACTCTCATACGCACATTTTTCTACTAATCAGATGGCGTCAATATCATAGACATGGGCAAGGGACCAAAAAAAAAAAAAAATAATAATAATAATAATAATAATAACAATAATAATAATAATAATAATAATAATAATAATAATACTGAGGTTTTGAATGGTATTGGAACTGACCCTGTACTTGACCTTTTGTCGTTGTAAGGTATTGGACTGAGTGGCACCGACCGTACTTACATGGAAGCTGCAGTCTCTTCTCCCATTGACGAGACCATGTTCATGGCTAATCAAGTCGAGGATCTCATGTCTTTGTCTAGAGACTTTGTCAACTTTGTGTGCGAAGGTAAATAGTCAAATGTTTGGTACTTGAGTTCACATTCGATTTTACAATTTTCATGTCAGATGTATATAAGTTAAATCTTACCACTTACTAGTATCATTTAATACTAGAATCACTTACTTGCTCATTTACTAACATCATTTATCTTAATTCATGATGGAGTTGTTTAAGTTCGTTTTATCTTTTTTTTTCTTCCCTTTTTTGTTTTTTTGTTTGTTGTTTGTTCATTTGGTTGTTGTTTGTTTTTTTGTGCTTAAATTGTCTCTTCAAGAAAAAGTCCGAGTTCAGATATATTACTTGACTTGGATAGTATCAAAATGCACTGCGTACTTCAATACTTTACCAATAATTGGACTTTGAAGACTCCAATGGTTCCAAACTGTTTTACAAGCTCTCTCCGCATGTCGTCTTCGTAAAAGCTATCTTTTAAAAATTCCTTTTTTAAATCATGTTATGTTAGTTTTTAAAATAAACACTTTACGTTTTCTTTCCCAGAGAAGAATATGTGTGCTGTCAACCCCTGTCAGAACGGCGGTACTTGTGAGAACGGAGAAAAGACGTACGTGTGCAGATGTCCTACAGGATTCGCTGGCAAAGACTGCGGCCGACGTAAGCTACTCACCAGATTACTGCTTGATTAGACGGGTAACGAGACTGTCACAGTTAGCTTGATTTCTTCTTTGGGGGGAGGGCGGGTTAACATTTCTCGTGCCCTTGTTGGGACCAAAGCCATAATGTGCTCTTTATATGTCTTGTAGTAGACTTTTTCTCATTCTTCTGATCAGTACTTGCAGTAAGAGAGTTGAAAACTAACCCACAAAGTCTATTGCTCTTTGCATCTCACAATCAGCAGCACCTGAAATTGGGTAAAACTTTAATAACTGACATAATCATCTTCTAGAATCTCACCGCTGTTTTACACGTATATATATAACACATACACACACGTACACACAGACACCAACTTGCTCGTCACACGCGCACTCTTCCACATCGTTACGAAATGAGCACATACAAATACATAATAAAATAAAATAGAATAAAGATAACTTATTGTACAGAATGTACTCCAACTGACTGTTGTTTGTTGCACTTTTTTCTTACAACTTTGATTTTTTTTTAAAGTCTCCATAAAAACCCCACCAAAAGAACACTCGTAGTCTCAAAGTAATTATTACTTTCAGGAGCCAATGCCTTTTACCCTTCTGTCTAGTATGTATCAATTTGACTGGTTGAGCATTGGTACATCATCAGAGAATCCAGTATTAGTAATGTTTTCAAAACTGTCCAACCTGCTCTACTGGCCACCTGTCCAAGACAATCACCTGTACAAATGACCACTTCCCACACCCTTTGCTTTCTTTTTATATATAATATTATACATGAAACGGTGTAACTCGCCCCTCACTTTTAAACAACCACTACTCTCTTCGACATTGGTTGCCTGTGTTGGACAATTTGGGCTGCACCAAAATCCTCTATATCTAGAAACTTATTATAATAATAATAATAATAATAATAATAATAATAATAATAATAATAATAATAATAATAATAATAATATTAGTAATTTAAAAAATAACATTAATATTAATAGTAATAATGATAATAATAATAATAATAATAATGATAATAATAATAATAGTAATAATAATAACAATAATAATAATAATAATAACAATAGTAATAACAATAATAATAATAACAATAGTAATAGCAATAATAACAATAATAACAATAATAACAATAGCCCACATCCCTCGTGACTCATCAGAGCAGAGGAAGATAGGACTAACGCTAACATTATTATTTTTTTTAAACAACAACAATCAAATAACAGAAGCATGTTTTCTTATAATTATAAACGTAAGCACCATCCCACATCATCACTTACCACCACCATCACCGTCATTTCTAAGGTCATCATTGCTCTCAGATCCTTCACAAACATCTATAATTATCTTAAACATCTATATGTAACAGTTATATGTCATAACAAATTTGTACGTTATACATTATTGGGCACTCTCATACGCACATTTTTCTACTAATCAGATGGCGTCAATATCATAGACATGGGCAAGGGACCAAAAAAAAAAAAAAATAATAATAATAATAATAATAATAACAATAATAATAATAATAATAATAATAATAATAATAATACTGAGGTTTTGAATGGTATTGGAACTGACCCTGTACTTGACCTTTTGTCGTTGTAAGGTATTGGACTGAGTGGCACCGACCGTACTTACATGGAAGCTGCAGTCTCTTCTCCCATTGACGAGACCATGTTCATGGCTAATCAAGTCGAGGATCTCATGTCTTTGTCTAGAGACTTTGTCAACTTTGTGTGCGAAGGTAAATAGTCAAATGTTTGGTACTTGAGTTCACATTCGATTTTACAATTTTCATGTCAGATGTATATAAGTTAAATCTTACCACTTACTAGTATCATTTAATACTAGAATCACTTACTTGCTCATTTACTAACATCATTTATCTTAATTCATGATGGAGTTGTTTAAGTTCGTTTTATCTTTTTTTTTCTTCCCTTTTTTGTTTTTTTGTTTGTTGTTTGTTCATTTGGTTGTTGTTTGTTTTTTTGTGCTTAAATTGTCTCTTCAAGAAAAAGTCCGAGTTCAGATATATTACTTGACTTGGATAGTATCAAAATGCACTGCGTACTTCAATACTTTACCAATAATTGGACTTTGAAGACTCCAATGGTTCCAAACTGTTTTACAAGCTCTCTCCGCATGTCGTCTTCGTAAAAGCTATCTTTTAAAAATTCCTTTTTTAAATCATGTTATGTTAGTTTTTAAAATAAACACTTTACGTTTTCTTTCCCAGAGAAGAATATGTGTGCTGTCAACCCCTGTCAGAACGGCGGTACTTGTGAGAACGGAGAAAAGACGTACGTGTGCAGATGTCCTACAGGATTCGCTGGCAAAGACTGCGGCCGACGTAAGCTACTCACCAGATTACTGCTTGATTAGACGGGTAACGAGACTGTCACAGTTAGCTTGATTTCTTCTTTGGGGGGAGGGCGGGTTAACATTTCTCGTGCCCTTGTTGGGACCAAAGCCATAATGTGCTCTTTATATGTCTTGTAGTAGACTTTTTCTCATTCTTCTGATCAGTACTTGCAGTAAGAGAGTTGAAAACTAACCCACAAAGTCTATTGCTCTTTGCATCTCACAATCAGCAGCACCTGAAATTGGGTAAAACTTTAATAACTGACATAATCATCTTCTAGAATCTCACCGCTGTTTTACACGTATATATATATATATATATATATATATATATATATATATATAGAGAGAGAGAGAGAGAGAGAGAGAGAGAGAGAGAGAGAGAGAGAGAGAGAGAGAGAGGGGGGGGGGGGAGAAAGTGAGAGAGAGAGAATTTAAGAGTTTTGGTGTTATTTTCGTGTGCCTATTCCATGAGTTCGTTTAACCTGTAACTCATCTGCTGACAACTTATTCCACAGCTTGTGATGACAGAGCTGATGTCGTGTTCCTTATTGACTCTAGCGGTAGTGTAGGCTTTGACAGCTTCCGCCGCATCAAGGAGTACATTCATCACGTCGTCGACAGCTTCAACATTGGGCCTGAGGCTACTCAAGTGGGCGTGGCTACCTTCAGCCAGAGCAGCAGAGCTCACATCTACCTGGACTCCTACAGTGTAAGTAATATGTGGCGTCGGTGGCCTTGTGGTTAGGCTACCGGACTTGTAATCGTGAGGTTGCAGGTTCGGGGGTTCGAGCTGCGAGCAAGACGTACCCTTGAGAAAGGCACTTTACACGAATTCTCCTCACTTCACCCAGGAGGGAATGGGTACCCGGCAATAGACAGTGAAAGATCTTATCAGTATGTTAGTTTGTTAGTTTTTTAGCGCCTATAAATGGCCGCTTGCTCAGTATCCTTCCCAGGAACTTGAGGTTGTTTCAGAATGCTCTCAGGTCTGATGAGGTAATAGTATAGATTGTTAAGCGCACAGAGCTTACTGTTGGGCGGGAATGTATGCTATACAAATGCTGTCTATAATTATTAATAGCTCACCTTCTTCCTCTTAGCTTTCCCAGAATGTGGACGTTACTTCTCGGATCTTTCTGTAATAATCACTTTTTTCTGCCAGTTTGCCTGTTTGGGTTGTTTTTGTTCCAAAACCGATTTCAATATCCTGTTTGCATCATCATCTGATAGGTCTCCCTTTCCTCTCTTGCCTTCCACTTCGACCTGGGCTTCGAGAATATGTCCCCTGAGTGAATCATGGTATTTGATTTGCCCATAGTAGTTCATGTCATTCTGTTATGGTTTAATAGTTTGGCGCTCTCCCTTTTACTTTTATGCCAAAGATATGGATTTGATTCCCTTATGGTCAGAGTGTTGTACCGAATATCTATGTCTCCGAGCAATGATGTTTACCTCACATCCCGGGTTGGCCTCAGAAAACGTGGTCTCTATAATAGTGATGGGTGATGGTGGGCCCTCTGATCGGGTCTGCTCTTCTCTTCCTTCTTTCCAGTATTACAGCAGTTCTATTGTAGGGGGCCCTCGTGGCTTGGAGGTTAAGGTTGTCTCCTCTCTTTTAATAGGTCCCGGGTTCGAATCCGGAAAGTTTTCTTCTCTAAATTGTCTCCTTTCACCTCTTTTCTTGCTCTCAAGTAATGTTCTGTCGTCTGCTTTCGTCTCCACTTTCTGCCCCCACCCCATCACCCCAACCTCCCCCTCCCTCTGGTCTCCTGACTCTTTCTGCAGCCTTTCTACTGCTACACCTTCGTTCTTTCTTATTGCTGTCTTTCAGCCAAACACCTAATCTCATGGTAGGAAAGATCTACCCCTAGCATTCTCGGACAAGGGCGAAAAATATCGGAGGTCCCTTGTGCAAGCTGCTCATGTTAAGGATCCCTTGGTAGTTCAAAAGCGATAAGAGTAGGCTTCGGCCACCACTCGGGAAAAATTCAAAATGTCCTACCTACTGAAAATGCTAAATGTGTCCCGCGCTCTCATATGACCGTATGCAGTAGCGACCGCCGCATAACACTTACCCCGCAAAAAGTTATATTGTGTTCCATACGATACGTCTTCATTGTCATGTTAATCCACCTTTATTTGCTTCTAATCTGTAGGACAAGAGAAAGCTGCAGGCTGGTATCTCCGGCATCAACTACGTCTACGGCAACACAAACACAGCCTCTGGCATCAAACTGGCCCGATCCAGCCTGTTTTCTGACGCTAGAGGAAATCGCCGCAACGTTCCAGACTTTTGTGAGTGTGCAGCTCATACAATACGTTTCTGGTAGTCGATCGTTAGATTGGAATTTTTTTTCTCCTTATTTAGCCAAGTGGATGTGTATTACTTTCAAGTCCTTTTTCTGAGAGTGGCATTTAAAGATATATTTAATTGTTTTATTCTTATCATGGCTATGTTTCAAATAGTAAATTTCTACTACAACTCTGACAAATGAAAAGTGTTCAAATCATTTCTAAGATTGGAAATGCAAATATCTAGCATCTTTGAAGAAGAGCTGTGATGGACATCACAACTTTAGTAGAGCAAAATGATTTGGTTTTAGTAAAACGGTTGCAGGAAGATGCTAGTTAGCAATGAGTCCCATTATGAGTTGATTACGTGAATTAAATTACTGTTTTGTCCTCATTCCAGTGTTCATCATCACTGACGGCCTGTCCAACGTGAACCACGAGTCCACCATTCCCGAGGCTGAGCTCGCCCGCGCTCAAGGTATCCATATCTTTGCTGTCGGTGTCGGTATCGGCGACCCATGGGAACTCAACGGTATCGCCAGCGAGCCAACAGCCAGCAACGTCTTCCAGGTGGACAGCTGGGACGGACTGTGGGAAATCTCTAACCAGCTGATCGACAGGACCTGCAGAGGTAGGCACTGGCTTGCCTTCTTCACCCCCCCCCCCCCCCCCCAAACCCAGCTAATAATAATTATTATTATTATTATTATTATTATAATTATAATTATAATATTAATAGTAATAAGAATAATAATATAATAATAATATTATCTTTAATAATGATGATAATAATAATAATAATTAATAATAATAACAATAATAAAATAATTATAATAATTATAATAATTATAAAAATAAAAATAATAATAATAATAATAATAAAAATAATAATAATAATAATAATAATAATAATAATAATAATTAGCATTTGTACATAGCACATATCCCTGCTCGACAGCAAGCTCAATGCGCTGTACACTATATTATGACCCCAGCCGACCTTAGAACATTCAGAAACATTCTCAGCTAATTCTCTGGGATAACTGGGTGTAGTGATGTCAACCAACAATGCAATTGATTCATGTTTGTATATTGTCTTAACTTGATCTATAATGCACCTGATCTACAACTACAAGAGTAATGTCGTATTTTCACACCAAGACACAATCATGTTACTTCTACCGATTAAAAAGACTTAAATAGCTATTTTGAAGATTCTCTTTGTCATTAATTATACTGACCATTGTTTCTTCAGTTTGTGAGCACTAGTAATCAACCTGGACATTTTATACTCTCCACTGACTAGGTGTCGTTTTTAATGTACAAATCCTTACCAAAGCTAATTTGTTGAAGGCTAGGTGCTCGATCCCAATTTCTCTAAGGTAAGAGTTATGACAACTTGAGAAAAAGTCCCAAGTTGTCCATCAGTCATACCTACAGAGACAAAGAATTGAACTGGGTACTTTGGCTTGAGACACTAAAACCATGCCTCTAGATATACAAATCATTGATTGTACATTCTTCCGTCATGTTTCAGCACGTGTGATCATTTACCAACTGCAAGTGACTTCCAATAAACATTTTTCTTCACCTGACATAATTCAAGTCCTGGAGAATGGAAAATCACAAACCCAGCAAGTTCGAACAATTAAAATAAATTTGAAGGCACGAAACGCAACATCAATATCCGGAGCGAAACTCTGAACGTCTGCCTGGTGGAAATGCACTGAGGCAAAGACAATGGAACACTCCTACCACTGCTGACGGAGGAGTGAGCCATATAAAGTAGTCACTGTGCGTGCTGGCGACACAAATCATCAACTCGTGTCTCCATTTACTTTTTCAGATAGTGGAGTGTGTGATGGAGATCCTTGCTTGAACGGCGGAACGTGCGTTGCTGGACCTGGAACCTTCACATGCGAGTGCAGAGTTGGATTCTTGGGAGACCGTTGTGAGCTTGGTGAGTTGTGAGCTCTGTAAGCGAATGTTGGGGGCTCTTACTTAATCATCTAGAGCTTGGTATTTTTCCTTGTCTTTGACGAAAAAGATGACTGTACCTGAGGCGTAAAATGTGCCTCAAGAGTCATTGTCTTTGTCAAATATGTATGTTATACAAAAAGACACCTACACATAACACTTATTGAGAGTGTGTTACAGTTGTGTGCACCATGTAGTGTTTCGTTGAAGAACCACTCGATTGTATTTGGCCCTCCATCACTGCATGGTGTGTACTTTGATAGGCTTCTTTTTGTTGGTTTGTGTTGTTTTGTTTTGTGTTTTGAGGGGGTTGGACTTTTATAGGGGTATGGGTGGGTGGTTGGCGGGTGCTCTGGTATGGTTTGCTTCTTCTTTCCTGTCAAACATCTATCGACCTTATCTCTCCTCCTTTTTGTGTTTGTTACTCTCTTGGAACACCTCTAATCTTCGGCACTTATATGACCTTATTGAGCTGCAAGTACCGTAAAACACTCACTAAAACTTAGGGGTGGGGTTGGGGGGAAGGGGATCTTGTCTTTGTTTTGGGTTGGAATTTGTTTGTTTATTGGGGGATGTTGACAAGGCTAAGTGATCGGTGGAATCACTGTAAGACAAACATATGTTCTCATCTCATTTCCTGCCTGTCTGTGTCTCTAGACTGCGGCTCCAGCAAAGACATCGCCTTTATCCTGGATGCCTCGGCCAGTGTGGGTCCTACCAACTTTGGCCTGATGCTCAAGTACGTGTCCACCGTGGTGAAGGATCTGACAGTTGGAGGACAGGATCACCGCTTCGCTCTCATCACGTACAGCACCAACGTTCAGACCATCTTCAGTTTCAACCGTTACACTTTACCTGAGGACACGATAGAAGCTATTGAGACCACTATCTATCAAGCTGGTTCAACGAACACAGCTGATGGTTTGAGACAGGCCATTCAGATGTATCAACCAGGTGAGATGTTATTCTTTTCAGTCAAATTTGCTTTCTCTTGACATTTGATTTGTTGCCTTTGTTTGTGTGTGTCAAGGAGACTCTAGTACACATATGGAGAAACAAGGGCGGCTCGTGGGTCTAAAAAGGGGGCGTGCACAATTAAGCTATCGCAGGCTGAACATTGTCAAGGCATAGTAAATGAGATGTTGTATAATTTTAGGATCTTTGGGTTGGTGAGGGAGGGCCTCGTGCTTTTATTTTCATTCTTTTTACACGTCGCTTTGATTTCTAGAACTAAATCTGTTTTAGCTAAACATCAAATTCGTCCATCCTGCATTATAACTGAACACTCCAGTAATAACTTTCACCACTCCACTACAAAACCTTTCAAAGGCACAACCCTAGGCTTTCTCTGAAACATGAACTGAGAAAGCCTAGGCACAACCCATTGGACGGCGACTTAAGTATGTCACGTTCACCTCCCTCAGGTTCAGGGTCACTGAGTCTCTTAAAATAGCGGCGAGACGATGAACCAATCATAATTCACTTGAACACTCCGCCGGATTGCTCCGAGGCTCACATATTTTTGGCATTGAATAGCGTCCAGTCTATCGCGTTTATTTTTAGACTGCCTACTGTGGGCTATGCATCAGCACTATTCGGCAGGAGCACATTTGAGATGTGCCGACTTATAAGTATTAATGTACCGACAAACTGGCAAAGGGTGTCGTCGTCGCTTGGGTTATCCCAAAGAGCGATTTATAGGTCAGGTTACCACTGTTGAATATCCTATTATGTTTAGTTAAAGTGTGTGGACTTTGGCAGATATAGACACAAAAATGACAGTTATAGCGCCAACGGGGACCTTCTTTTGATATTACATTTGGCTAGTGTTTTTTCTGGTTTATTTTATTTTATGTTTGTGGGCGCTTTACGTAATAGAATATTTAATTTAAAACATTTTGGCGGCACTGCACGACCGTGCTCTATGGACGAACCGCGCCAGGGAGAAACGGATTTATATTTATTTCATGGGGCTGCCCAGTGTTTATTCCTATGCTATACGCTGCATATGTTTTGAAGATTCCTTTAGAATAGCTGGGGGGGGGGGGGGGGGGGGTTTATAAACAAGAGTGATCACATGTGCATGTACAAGAAACTACTTAATATCAAGTAGTCCTGTTTCTGTTGTGGTTTTTTTATATAAAAATGATCATACAGTAAAAAAGCCCTTGCTGCGTAACAAAGCTTCATGGAAGGTTTATTACAGTCAGACCGTCAGAAATACTGAAAAGGCGATAAAAATGAATGCTATTGGAAAACACATTCCATAGCCATTGACAAGATAACGGAACGGAAAATCAAATTTTACTTATCTTTGTCTGCACAAGGGATTTGTTGTTTGGCGATATTTTTTCTCCTTTCAAGAACTCGTGTAACCTTTTGCCGTCGTATTTCCCCCCTTTGTAGGTTTTGGAGAGAGGCCGAATGCTAAGGATGTGGTCATTCTCATGACTGATGGACAGAGCAACATCAACTACTGGGACACCATTCCTGCTGCCACTGACCTTAAGGCAATTGGTGCAAAGGTCATCGGTATTGGCATTGGTCTGGAGAACTATGACGAAATTAATGGCATTGCATCGAGCGTCAAGGATGTGTTCCCTGTAAGTATAATGTGTCAAGAATTCGTGCAGTTTTTTGTCAGTGCTGTCCTTTGTTGCAAAATTGTATCATTTCCTTTTTATTCTGTCCATAGCTTATTTAAAATATCTTAATCCCTAAGATAGATGCCTTTGTTACAAACATTTGAACCAGAGAACGACTTTGACTCGGGATATTCTCATTAATCGGCACTTTGAAACAATGAAGTGGGAGTATTAACGTTTTTCTGTTCCCAAAAATATCACATGTCGCTTCATGGAGGAAGGGGTGGTAGATTCAATTTTTTTGTTCCTTTGCCTAATTTCACAAAATCCAATTTACGTATCATACATGTGTGTTGTTGCTATTAACTCAGCAGGGCTTTTCAATCCAGTCAAATAACACTTTATTTCCAGGCTGTCTCATGTGTTGTGTAGTTCTGTAGAGTGGATTCTCCATGTCTGATCCCTGAGGGACGGCGGTGGTCTAAATTGTATGGAATAGGTGCATACCTTACGTCGGGCTTTTACACAGTCATCTAATGGTGTCTCGTCTGTTTCAGGTCACATCTTTCAACAACCTGGCCGAGGTTGAGCATGACATTCTGGAGGGATCATGCAGTGTGACAGAGTAAGCCCAGACCCTTCTCTGGGTCGCAGATTCCCAAAGAATCCTATACAAGCATCCACCCCATTTATTACCTACCCCGCTATTAGGACCTCCTGCGAGTACAAAAAACAGAGAGTGAATTGAGAGCTTCTGAGAAGTGTGTGTGCGTGCCTGATCATGCTTGTTTGGATAATGTTCACTCATTGTATCATTTCTTTCATTAATATGCTCATCTATCATTTAATTGGTCATGTTACGACTTACTGTTTCAAAGAATCATAATAGTTTTGTACTAATCTTTCCTTGTGGATATCATTGGTGAACATTTCAGCATTTACTCTGTTTTTACAGTAGCAATGTTGATTTTTTCGCCCCAAAGGATAAAATTTGTTAAGTAAATGTCAGTCTTCTTTGTGACAGTTTCTAAACAGAAATAGAGAAGTGTTTAGTTGGCATTGTATGAAATGAATTTTGGATTAAATTGTTCTTTGAAAAAAGAAACGTCTCAGTTCTTTAATGGGTTCTTGTTTTCGTCTTTAGGTTAATGCTGTCTGCTGAAACTAAAAACCTAGGATTCTATCAGGGTCTTTATGTGTCGTCGGTGACCTAGTAGTTTGCCTCTGGACTCGCAACTGTAAGGTCGCGGGTTCGAATACTGTCAGGGGTTCGACTTTGCGTCCTTGGGAAAGGTACGAATTCTCTTCACTTCACCCAGGTGGAAATAGGTACCCAGCTATAGACAGTGGAAGGTCTTGTCAGTTTTTATAGGTGTTTGAATGTGTCAAATCCGCAGCTTGTACTGTATGCTTCCCCGGAAGACAAGAATGCTTTTGGGTGTTTTCTGCTGGGGTAATGATAGCTGTAAGTCGCAGGGAACATGCTGGAGAACTTCGATATGCGCTATATAAATGCAATAATTACTGTTAAAGCCGGGTGGATGTAGCCCAGTCCCATTAACCCTAGTTGGCCCTGACAGGCAGGGTGGAAGCTTGTCCTCTAAATTATCGAAATTGTGTCGATGAAGCAGTAAAAATCAACAAATTACGTTACTTGGTAGGTATTAACCTGGTCCATTATGTCTATTCGCTTATGGACTCAACCATAAAAACGAGCTTGCTGACTTTACAAAGTGTGAGACCAATACTTTCATTTGATGTAACCATGGAAATACTTTGATAACTAACTTTTGAAACAAAAAACAAATTACAAATAAGTCGAATGATACGTTGACAGTGGTACATATATACGTCAAGTGAATGGGGCAAAGCGTATGTGTTACAAAGTAGATACACAGTATAATAATTTATTCGAGTACCGTAACATACATTATCGTACTATGCATAACGTACATTTGCTTTTCAATGGAACAGTACTTTTGAAAATCTTAAATATTCATACATAAGTGTAATAATGCACATAAACGTTGAATTGGACAAGATAAAAACTGTAAAAATCAATGCCCAAATCGAGTAGGCTAAATGGTGTTCAATTGCAGTAGATCTAGTCCTTATACCGAGAAATCACGTTTTCCGTACGCTTTGTTCAGCCTATATCTTTAGTGGACTCCTGAAACAAGAGTATGCTCTTTCAAAAAAATACACGTTGCATTGCCTTGAGAGGAGGTGCAAATTATTAAGATGAGCTGTATTTTAAAGTGCTTCTCTGTTTTGCCATCGCTTATATCATAAATTTCATTTCAAGAAAACTAACGAAAAAACGAGAGATTTTCCTTTTTGAATTTGAGAAAAACGAAAATATGTCACGACGCAATTAAACCAGGCGCTCTTCCTTTTTGGGCATATGGAATTTTTGGTATCATGTTAAAGGCTATTCATTTGCCTTGCTTTAGATGAAAAAAATATACATTTATTTTGAATGGAAGTCGAGATATTTGCGATTGAAGGAGATAGGGTCTCTTGGTTTCAGGAGTAAAATTAACGAGAAATTGGCCTACAAGGTTTGGTGGTTTCTGATGAGACACTGATTTTACCATAATGACACATGTTTAGTGAGAGTCCTTGGAAACTGCAAATTAACAATTTTGTGTGTGTGTGTCTTTAATAATCAACGTTGTCTTCCTTGATTATCCACACACATAAAATCGTTTGTTTGTTTTTTTACGGAGGTACAAGACATGGAGCCAAAAAAATTCGAAAAAAATGTCCAAACTGGCCGAAAAATGCTGATTTCACGTATTTCATTATTTTGACAAGCGCATGATTTCACCACAATGCCTCAAAATGAAATGCATGTCAGTCCACGTTATCCCATAAAATAGCTTATTTTATTAGCCTAACATTGGGGGATTTTCTTCCCAACCCACGCAACAACCCAAGGGATCCAAAAACCTGGCATCTTTTATTTTCCTGTGTGCCCTTCATTCGCAAAATTCATCATCATTGATGGGGTCATAGCATTAGTAAATTATACTCTGCTGAAGAAAATTACACTACCCTATCACAAAAACATTAATGTGCATGTACGTGGGTGCAAACAGCAGTTCCAGGGAATTACTTTGCATTGTCCTAACTTACATTTCACTAATCTTTGTAGCTCGTCACTTTTACATTTCTACATAAATCTGAGTATGCCCAGGCATAATGTTTTTCATTGTTGTGTAGATTTCGAAAAAAAAAAGAAGAAAAAAACTTAATTTGTTAAGCATTAAGATTTGTTTTGAATAAACTAGAGGCTAAAATTATCAATATCAAGTAATGATTGATAAGAGTATAAATTATATACTTTTTAGAATTATTTACAGTAGTGTATATAAATGAGCTTAGTCCTATTAGTTTATTCTTGGCTTCATCATTTAATTTTTTTTCTCACAAAGTAAATAATTTAAGCTTTCAACAGTCCGTAGTAATCATCGGCATACTAGTGATTCACTTAAATACATATATAATACGATACGTTGAATGTGCAAATCAAATATTCAAAATTCGTGACAGAATAACCATTAAAGTAAGATATTACGATAAATTGGCCTCTCTGTTTAACAATATGAATGCCCAAAAAAAGAAGTCATAACACCGGCCGTAATTCATGAATAATGGAAATTACTGCCTTACAATTAATTATTTTGACAAATTTATCATAATGGATTATAGCCGTAACAAGATACATATATTATTTTAAAGTAACGTAGCCAACACATTTATAACAAAACGGGCTTATTATAGTAAATTGAAGAAATATTAGTTTCTGTACTAACAATTTTAAAAGACTTGTGGGCTTTTTTTTTCTTTACAAAAAAGCCAAGAAAAATAAAATTAGTAAGGGTTGAATTAATTAAAAATACTGTAAAGACAGTGTGTCCACAAAAGTGCAGAAAGGTAAATGGACAAACACATCACAAAAGTAGTACAACGAATAGGCACGAGTGCTAAAGAATTATTCCGTTTTCACCAGTTCACTAGAAAGTACAACACACACACACACACACACACACACACACACACACACACACACACACACATACACACACACACACTTCGCGCACAGCCCGTCTCCTAAATGATCTAGATTGAGTCGATGAAGGTGTAAAACAACTTCTTATCTACAATACAATTTACATATTATTTCATTAGCGGTGTACAATATAACACACACACACACACACACACACACACAAACACACACACACACACACACACACAAATGCACACACACACATACATACATACATACATACATACATACATACATACATACATACATACATACATACATACATACATACATG